GGCATGCATTATACGCATAGAACAGTAGGTAGAATGACATCCCCATGCTTCCATAGTTCCATTCCATTTTTTTCATTTTACCTTTTTTTCTATAGACAATTCCATACACCCTTTCGGTTGTTCCGTTTTCTGTGCGACGACCAATACAATAGTTCATTAGAATGTAGCGAATAACAATGAGTAAGAACTAGAAATAGTACGGTAGAAGATAGAAGAAGGGGGAGTTGTGAGCGGCGTGGCGTATCTTGAAATGAGAGCGAGGGGTGGCAGGTTGGAAGAATCAGTAGACGAACTATCTTAACTGTGGAGGGCTTTTATGCCACCCCTCCCGCGCGATCTATTTTGATCAGTGCGACGACATTGACCGCCTCTTGATCTGTTGTTCCCGCGTCCTTGGGCCATCCGCCCGCCGAGACCCACCGTAGCCTTCACACTTGTGAGTTCCTGGAAATGACATCCCATGATATTATAATATAACATCAATATGGCTCCAAGATATTCTATTAAGGGTATGTCCCTATTGCAGCCCCTTACTTCGTGATCCTGGTGATTTTCTCGTACGTGCCAGCCAAGATGGAAACGTATTCACTTTGGTGTTGAATGTGAAGGTAAGTGGAGGGTGTGTCATGCCATGCCTAAGGGTTAGTGAACCGTAAGTGGAAATATCCACATAAGGCGGTGATAAGCTTGGAGAAGCATTCTAAGTACTCTTTGTTTGAAAGTTTAAAATCATTCAGAGACAAGCATAGTTGTTATCGTCGCTATCAGAGGGGTGGCATCAGTAGGCGTAGAATGAACCCTCCCGCGGCTGTGTTTTCTATTAAAAACGACCGATTCGGATATTAGGGTGTCCGGATAATTTTGAAAAAACCCGTTGTCTTACTTTTCTCAATTTGCAAAAGCGTAGCCGAAGGCGATGTACTTAGCTGTGATTTGGATGCGGAAAAAGAGGATTAGCTGTAGATTAAATCGATACCCGATCGATGTTACAACTCGTCATTAACCTTAATTGTCATCAACCGAAAAATGCACGACAAACACGACACTAGACGTCTTCTATCTCTTCTTTACCGTTCTGACCTCTCCGCCACTCAAGCGAGGAACGAGTTGCTGTCGTCATGGGTTGCAGTGCACCCTCCTTTGCAAAGTGTACAGGCGGTACGACCGCTTTGCAGTGGACGAGTTTAGCTTCGATGAAGCACCTCGAGCCTGAGCTCCCTCTCGCTTCCAACACTGGCATCGTCCTGGCTTCTGTGAGAAACATGAACTTTAAGGGGATTGGAGAGGACGACTCCAGGATCCACTATCGGGAACAAGCGAGACTCCTTCGAGCTTCATAATTGCTCGGATAAAGTAGATTTCATACAGAACCCGGATAGACACAGAAGTGGCTGCCTTCGAACCAGAAGCCACGGCACGTTAACCGACATTGCCACGCCAAGAAGGAGTTGTTCTCGTTCTTCTTCTGCTCCATCTACCGAGGTTGTTCCTGAGGGTACCGCGTAACATCATCAATATTCTGTGAGCATTTACGAGAGGTGGTGTCCTGAGTCCCAGTTTCACATCAGTATGGGGGTAAATTTCCGGGCACCGCTTGACCACATCGCGAGAAGGCGACAAGGCACTGGAGGATCCTGGAACTGACTTGCTGCCCCATCCTCAATATTCACTTGACCTTGGTCCCTGTGATTACTATGCTTCATAAGTCTTCAGGCTTGCACCGAGGGCAAGTCGTTCAGCAAGCGTCAGCATGTCGAGCGTATGGTCGATGAATGAATCGCGTCTCGACCTGCTTCCTTCTGTAAAAAGGGTATTGATGATCTACTCAATCGGTGGAGAGACGTTGTGGCCAAAAAGGGCCTTATCTTGATAACTAATTTTCCGGTTTTATTGTTGTCAATACGTGTTGAATAAAATGACAGAATTTTCTCGAAGTTCTCCAGACACGCTAATAGAAAGTGATCAGTGATAGAATTCGCCACGGGTGGGCACACTCCATGTCTCACGAGACCGCCCGACTTTGCGGCGGCATCAACTTTAACATATCATATTCTCTTTGAAACTCTCATTGTGTGCCGATTAAGAATGCACAAAATGTTTTTAGAACGGCAACGAAATCGACAATTTAACATTAAGCGTCATTAATGGACACTATTTGCTCCACTATCTTCTGAATGTGAAAGATAACAGGGCGGTATTTGACAGCGTATCCCAATTGGTTAGATATTATAGGGTGAGACACCTTCTAATTCTCAATCAGTCAAAATCTTTTATAGTTGGTACGCTAATGTCATGAACTCCCCGTTCATGATGTTTGTCCTGTGTCATGCCCCGCGCCACTACGAGTATATAAACGACCGGGAGGTGGTGACAGGGTCGGTCGGTCGGTCAGTTGGTTGGTTTTTGCTGCTGGGATCGTTGGTTCATCCCTGCCCCAGCGCTGCCGGATGAGAGGCGGTGGTCGTTACTGCGGAAGCAGTGACTCGTGGTCCACTTGTTAGTCAGTACCCGGAACGCACGGCCCTCAACTGGCATAGGCTTCTAGCCCGTCGTTCGGGAGATCACACGTCGACCTCTATAGCCGAACTCCCTGAGTGACTGGGTAGAAATAGAAAATATATCCAGTCTCAATTTTGAGGCCAAGTCATGCAATAATAATAATTGATGTGTAGGATATTGGGTTTCTTAGATTCCATGTGCTTGTAGAAACAATAAATGATTTTTCGTAAGATGTTATGTTATGTAGCAAGAAGGGAGAATATGCAGAACCACCACATAACTTACATCTGGGGAGTGATGTCCTCAGTACAGCTAATTTGGATACAAAACGAAGCTAGGAGTGCTAAGGCTTCATGCTTTGCAGTTGTGTCCATCAACGTCTCCAGCGACCTTTAGCGTCCGGCAGCGTCTACCAGCGTCTTCTAGCGTCCACGAGCGTCCCGAGGATTAGCGAAGTATAGATATCGATCTAGTGCCTGCCAGTGTCTACCAGCGCTCACCAACCGTCGGGAGTAGAGGGTATGGAGAAGTAGGAGGGTAGCAAACAGCTGGATAAGGTGAAACAGCGGCGTGTGCAACCGTACCGCATAACTGCTGAATCGCAGAACTATGCAATTTAATGTACGATGTAGTGCAGTTGCACGGTGCGGTTGCACACGCCGCAATTTCATGACGCCTAATCCAGCCGTTCGCTACCATCTTTCTTCCCCATACTCTCTACTCCACTGGTGAGTGCTGGTAGACGCTGGCAGACGCTAGATCGATACCTATACTTCCTGGCCTTCGAGACGCTGGTCGACACGGGTGGGCGCTGGTAGGTACTAGACCGAAACCTATTCCTAGTTCCTAGTTGCTGACGCTGCCGAGCGCTCAGATCGCTAGCGGACGGTGGTAGACGCTGATGGACACTGCCGTAAAGTATGAACGCGGCCTAAGTGGCGCGATAGTAAAGAACGGTCAAGCGAAGGCGTCAAAATTAGTGAAATGAACCCACTAACCTGGTCATGTTTTTGAACGTCGCAAGGATAGCTCTATGGGACTTCGGCCATCAGCACGCTGGTGCCGCTGCTGCGAGGGAAAGCGCGCTGATGGATAAAAATCACCGGCCCAGTCGGTCATTTCCATGCGGAGCACCAGTTATGCTTAGCAGTTCGCTGCGTTCGTTGGGGCATGTCAATGAAACTGGGTTTAGCTCACAGTCAACCCGTTTTGCACCAGTTATTGTTGCTTGCTCGTTGCAGCTGGTGGAAAAGGGTTGGGCCGCGTCAAACCTAGCCCCCTGGCAAGCCCCAGCATCTCCAGCGATTACGACTGAATCTCCCCTATGTAGCAAGCTGAATTAGCGTACCCACTTCTTCTGAATAAAGACATGGGCCGAACGCTTGCGTTTTCAGAGACATCGCCTTCCGAATGGTATACGACTTATTCATGGGATAAATCGACCACCGTGGCTTCTACGACATAGTGCTGTCACTTTCGACAAGGTTTCTTTCTTCTACATCATTCAGAGGATGAACTCCGCTTAGGCTGCGTTCATACTTTGCGGCAGCGTCCCGAGCGACCACCAGCGGACATCAGCATCTCGAAGGGCTGGGAAGGTATGGATATCGGTCTAACGAGCATCAGCGTCCAGAAGTAGGTACTGTGTAGTAGCAGGGTGCGGTTGCAGACGCCACAATTTCACGACTCCTAATCCAGCCATCTCCTCCCATCTACTTCCCCATACTCTCTGCTACTGGACGCTGGTGAACGCTGGTAGGCGCTAGATCGATATCCATACTTTCCAAGTCCCTCGAGACGCTGATGGTCGCTTGCGAGCGCTGGAGGACGCTGGTGACGGTGGTGTACAATACCGTTTGCTGGATCGATATTTATACTTTCTTCGTTGCTGACGGGCGCTCGAAACGCTGATGGTCGCTGGTGGACGCTGCCGCAAAGTATGGACGCAGCCTTAGAGAATGTGGTTAAGGTCGGTGTTCGGGGTGGGAGCGAGCGTAATACCAGAGTGGATTTTTAGGTGGTCTTACTCATCATATTACTGTAATAGGGCCAAGGGTTCCCTGCAGGATTGTACTATTTTTTGTCATCTTAAGAATCATGTCACTCTAGTGGAGTCGAAAGGTTACCCACGCACTTGATCGCGGCGGATGCTGGGGCGTGCCAGTGGGCTGGGTTTGGCGCGGCGCCAGCCCGTTATACACCAGCAGTTGTCGCTTTCGCCGCCTGAACAACTGGAGGAGAACGGACTGGCGCTCTGCCAAACCCAGCCCTCCGGAACGCCCCAGCATCAGCAGCGAACAAGACTGTACATCTCTTTTTTGAAGCTTTGGCGCCTGTAGTCGTTAAGGGATCGTGACGCGAGCTGAGCTGGAGTGCCCATCAGCAGTGCGCACTTGTGGGGGTGGGCCATCACTCCAGCGCCCCCACGGTGATCACATGAGGCTTGTCGCCCGCACCAGAAGCTTTAGGTCTACTACGAGGTCCTCAAAACACACTTTCAGTCTGGCAAAATCGGCTCTGGTAACTTCTGTGACGTTTTCCGAGGAAAGGTTACCATTGAAAACAAAGAGATTGATGCCGCTGTCAAGGTATGAGTAATTGGATTTACCCTTATCTGTTGCAAAGGTAGCCCTCCTCTAGGGACATGGCCCGATTTCGCGACGAGTTGGCTCGGTGGGGCGTTCTTTTCTCTATAAATCGGTACGACGCCCTGTTGATCCCGGAGGCTCTTCGCGTTACAGTTTTTTCTGCAGAAAGCTGTCGCTGGCGGAGGGGTTGCGGGGGGGAGGGATGTAGCGACTCACAACACGAAAAACCGGGGGAAAATCAACTACTGAAAATATTTTTTAGAAAAAAATGCCCTCCCTCCAACCATGACATACGACCCCCCCCCCTCATCTCCCCACCACGCAATTTCAATTTGCTGTTAACATTCATTCAGATTTGTCACGCTCCTAGTGCTGAAGTCTCGCCGCAAGACATACTTGAAGCCAGAACAAGTATGATCAATGAGGTGAAGATGATGGCACGTTATCGAGATGAAAACCTGATAATGGTTTGACCATTTAGATCGCCTAGCCCTTATCGCAGGATTTTCGGACCATTAGCGAGCTAATTTTAGAATTTCCAGTTTTATGGTGTCGCCTGTGATCGACCTCCAGTGATGATTATAATGGAATTGTGTGACGGTGGCAGTCTAGATAGTCATCTTCGCACTCGGGGCAAATTAATCAGCAGCACAGAAAAGCTGATTTACTTATATGAGGTGGGACAGAACAATAATTGTGCACGGAACAAAGTTCTGAACAGTGAGCTGCAACCTTTAGACATCATCAGGAATGCGGTACTTACATTCAGTGAATTGTGTTCATCGTGATTTGGCAGCCAGGAATTGTTTGATTTCCAGAGAGGTTAGCTCATTTACATTCATGATCCCTGCAATCGATAGGGTGTGTGACGCGGCGCGTACTGGAGCGCAACCGTGCGGCTTTGTTCCAACAATGATGCCATTCTGAGCCCGTTACAGTTGATAGGAAATCTGTCTTGGCTACGCTCCAGGCCACGCCTCCCAGACACGCCCAGCATCTACAGCAAAAACGATATTGTAACGAGCGTGAAGCGGAAATGATCTACATCCCCAGAGAATTCTCTTTCGAAACCAAATGTGGTGGTTTTCACATGGACGCTGCGTCCTGACGGCAGTACAATGGTTCTGGGACTACTCTTAGCGAGACAAATTTCCCAACTTCGAAGGTCGCCTGGCATGCGACGCTGGTCCCACCGATCCTGAACTTGGCTGGCCCTTCCAATCTGTGTAGAGGACCCATTGGAGTGCCCAAACCAACGTGGGCTGGTCACGGAATCCGTATTCCGACAACAGCCATTTAGTTGACTTTACGTGGTGTAACGCTTGCACGTCCAATCAGTAGGATTGCAGTGTGAATGCCGCGCATACGACAGCGCTTTCCGCAGACGTGGATCTCGTGACCGGCTCCTGATATAATTCACCTGAACAGCTTCCTGTGAAACGGTTCTCTATTCAGGGAACTATCAAAGTTTCTGATTTTGGTATGAGTGTATCTTAGAAAATGGGAAAACCATGTGCAGGACGATACTCAAAGAAGCACCTATTAGGTATACCCTTTTCAAGAAATAATCTCATATTTGAACGCATTCTATCATTCTAGAAGCATAATTGCATACAATCGGGTTAGGACGTTCTGATAAGCCCATTGAACTGACAGTGAAATGCAAGAGTGATGCGCTTAAACCATCTTCTATTCAGATGTTGACTAATTCTAAGTCGTGTCATGCCTCTTCGGTGAGAGGGAGATGAGCTGACGTGACCTGGCTCCCTTGCTGAACAATGGCTTCCTCCAAGGAACAGAGCGCCCAGTTCCATACAGCGATTGGAGGAGACCATTACCTCCCGGGGACGCATGTCAGCCCTTTGGGTTCCTACGCTTCTCACCGAAAAAAAAACTCCAATACAAGAAAGTGCTTCTTAGAAAGGTTTCTTATGGATTTGCAGAAATTGGCTCAAACTTAGGAGGTGGGTTGACTCGTACGTTGGGCGGCACCGTCTGCCTCATTGGTGGGAGTTGGATCATACCACCCTGTGCGCTGTGGGATGTGGCCCAGTGACGCTAACGTTTGTATCCCCCTGCCCATTGTACCCATTGCTTTAAACCATGCAAAAAAGTTCCTTGTGCTCCCCGTATCATTTTTCCACGGAGAACAGGCCTCAGTAGGAGCTTCAGCGACTCAGAATCTTGTGTTCTTCGCTGACCCCACCTACTCTCAAACTTTTCGAATAGGACGTTCATGTCTAATCACATCACCGAAATGGCTGGCAGCTACGAAGAGAACCGCAAAATGACTTTCAGGTGGTTGGCGCCTGAATGTTGCTACAAGAAGCCACAGTTTTCGAAGAAAAGTGACGTCGTGGCATTTGGCACATTGATGTGTTGAAGTATGTTATCTAAATGGACTCGTAAGGTGATGTTCGGAGATGCCAGAACTGTTCATTCTAAACATTTTGCTACTAATATTGAACTTTCAGCCATTTGTCAACTATGAAGATCTAGCGATTATACGAGCAATACGAAAAGCCAATATGCCTGCTGCACCGCCTGGTACACCTCCGCTAGCTGCTAGCCTTCTGAAGCAAATTTGGTTAGTTTGTTCTG